CATTCTCCTGCCAAAGGACATTTGAGATCTACACAGCTATTATGAATAATGTTTCTGGGAACATTCTTCTGCAAATCTTTTTGCATAGGTGTACATGTCTTTTTCTGTTCTCTTGGATAAATACCTAGACAGATCTGGGACTTGCATGAGGCAAATAAACTACCATAGTACAAAATTTAAGGAGGCCTTGTACCAAGGACTGGAATTGCTGGATCATAAAACAGATGTTTCTATAATAATTTAGTCTTTTATATAGCACTCAAATTTTAAATGCACGCTTGCCACAGGTTCTTCTGTCAAGAAAGCTATCATTTAAATAAAGAGCAATAGCAGGTTAATGTATTAGTCTATGAAAATATAACAAATTATAAAGACAATTGATTGGCCAGCTGCGGTGGCTCACACCTTTAATCCCAGCACTTTGGGAGGCTGAGGCAGGTGGATTACAAGGTCAGGAGTTTGAGACCAGCCTAGCAAATACAGTGAAGCCTGGTCTCTACTAAAAATAAAAAAATTAGCCAGGTGTGGTGGCGCACACCTGTAGTCCCATATGCTTGGGAGGCTGAGGCAGAAGAATCACTTGAACCCAGGAGGCAGAGGTTGCAGTAAGCCGAGATCCTGCCACTGCACTCCAGCCTAGGAACAGAGGGAGACTCTGTCTCAAAAAAAAAAAAAAAAAAAAAGACAAGTGATCAATATATTATCAGATATGATGCATATTAAATAAAACATTAAGTTGAGAATAACTTGTACCACAATCTCTTGATCAGTAAAACTCCTTGTGTTACAGATAAGAAAAATGATTAAGAAACTTGTCCGAGGCTGCCTAACTAGTTAGTGCTTTTTCATCATATATATTGCATTGTAAATTTTTAAATAAATTTAACCCAGGCTCAACTAAAATATTTTTTTCTTACCCAAAATTGTGGGTACAATTGGTTTTCAATTTTAATGTATTTTTTTTTTTTTTTGCCATAGGGGGCTAAAGTTAAATTGTAAATTTGAATGAGTGAGCAAGGAGTAATTATTATTTTAAATGAAAATCAAAGATTAGTGATATTACAAAAATTATAACTAAAAAACACACTTACTAAATAAAGTTAAACTACTTCGAAATACATAAAAAAGTTATTTTTCTTACCTACAGTCAGATTAGACTTTTCTAAGGAAGATGTAAGGCTATGGTGTACATCAGAGGTTCCCAACCCCCAGGCCACAGACTAGTTTTGGCCCCTGTACCTAGGACTGCACAGTAAGAGTTGAGAGGCAGGGAAGCCAGCAAAGCTCCATTTACAGTCAATCGCCATTACTCACATTACCACCTGAGCTCTTTGCCTGTCAGATCAGCAACAGCATTGATTCTCAAGAGCATGAACCCTATTGTGAACCACGCATGTGAGGGATAAAGGCTGCAGGCTTCTTACGAGAATTTAATGCTTGATCATCTGAGGTAGGGCTGAGGTGGTAATGCTAGTGCTGGGGAGTGGCTGCAAATACAGATTGAGAGGTTTGACTGCATAGAGACCATAATAAATCAATTACCTATCAGTGAGAGGCAAGTGACAATTAAGCTGCATCTGTTGCAGGCTCTAGAGTGGCAAGTGAGTTAATGTACTTCAATTGTACAGTTGCCTCTGGTGGCAGGCTTTAAGTCAAAATCCAACATTTATTTTAGTCTGCACATGGCCTGCCCATTATTTTATTTACCACTTCCTCTGTGCCTCCTTCCCGCACTACACAATTGTCTCAGTCACAGTTTTGGTAAGCCCATAAGCTAACGCCTAGCCAAAATGAGTAAAAAAACAAACGTCACTGGAGACCTTCTTTAAAAAGGGGGAAAGACCCAATGATGAGACGGGAGAAGACTCTAAGACTGCCAACAAAAAGAAACCTTCATTTAGAAGAAAATACCAAGAGTCCTATTTAAATTATAGGTCCAATACGACAGGTGGTTTACATTCTCCAAGTCTGCTTTGTATAATATGTGGCAACCAGCTATCCAATGAAGACATGAAACCTTCAAAACTGCTTTGCCACATGGAGAATCAGCAGCCTGTATTAAAAAACAAGTCTTTGGTGTTAAAAAAAAACAAAAACAAAAACATGAACACAAAGAACAGAAGTAATTACTGAAGGCCATGACTTCATCAAATGTGTTGGCACTAAGAGCATCATTCTTAGCTACTAACCACATAGCTAAAGCTAAGAAGCCCTTTAATATTGGGGATGAGTTGATCCTGCCTGCTGCTAAGGACATCTGTCATGAACTTTTAGGAGACTGCAGTTCAAAAGGTGGCATGTGTTTCTCTTTCAGCTACCACCATGACTAGACAAACCGATGAAATAACAGAGGATACTGAGGTACAACTGTTAGAATTAATGAGTCATTATGGTACACAATCCAGGTTGACGAGTCTACCAATGATGACAACAATGCAACAACACTTGTTTTTGTGCAATATATTTTTCAGGAGGATGTGCATGAGGATGTGTTATGTGCACTTTTGTTGCCAACCAACACCACAGCTGCAGAACTATTTAAGTCTTTGAATGACTACGTATGAGAAAAATTAAATTGGTCACTTTACGTCAGTATATGTATGGACATAGTGGCTGCCAGGACTGGACAGCTTTCTGGTTTCACTACTCGGATCAAAGAGGTTGTTTCTAAATGTGAGTCTATGCACTGCGTCATCCAAAGAGAAATGCTGGCTAGCTGAAAAATATCACCTGAACTTAACAACGTTTTGCAGGATATGATTAAAATTATAAACCTAATTGAAATATATGCCCATAACTCACACCTGTTCATGCAGCTCTGTCAGGAGATGAACACAGAGTAAACGTGTCTTCTCTTAAACACAAAAGTAGATGGCTTTCTAAAAGTGGATCACTAGCCAGAGTTTTGTGTTACATGAGGTCCTCCAGAGATTTCTTTTAGAAAAACAGTCACCACTGACAGCACATTTCAGTGACACAGAATGGGTCACAAAGCTTGCTTCCTTGTGTGACTTATTCAACCTGCTCAACGAACTCAATCTGTCACTTCAAGGGAGAACAACTGTGTTCAAGTCTGCAGATAAAGTGGCTGCATTCAAAGACAAACTGGAATTACAGGGGTGATGAGTGAACACTGGGATTTCTGATATACTTCAAACATTAGCAGGAATTTTGAAAGAGATGGAGAGCCAGGGACTTCTTTCTCCCAAATTGTGCATGATCACCTATCTCAGCTTTCAAAAGAGTTTGACCATTACTTCGCAACCACAAAGGACCCCTGAGCTGGGAAGGAATGGATTCGCAACCCATTTGTGAATAAGTCAGGTAAATTGATTTCTACTGTGCTACAAGAGGATCAACTAGACAACGTCAAATCTCCACACATTCTAGATTAAAGTCAAGACAGAATATCCTGCGATCGCCACAAAACCACTGAAAAGCCTGCTTCTATTTCCAACATCCTATCTTTGTGAAGCAGGGTTTTCTGTAGTGACAGCAACCAAAACAAGATTACAGAGGAGACTAGACATTAGCAACACACTTTAGGTGTCACTGTTGCCCATCGCTCACAGATAGAACCTTCTAGTTGCAGGAAAGCAACTTCAAGGCTCCCACTGATTCTACATTATAGTGAGTTGTATAATTACTTCATTGTATGTTACAATACCATAATAGAAATAATGTACACAATAAAGGTAATGCACTTGAATCATCCTGAAATTATCCCTCTCCCCTCCATCCGTGGAAAAGCTATCTTCCACAAAACCGGTCCTTGGTGCCAAAAGGTTGGGGACTGCTGATATATACATGGTATCTGCATTTTTCAATCCAGATGCCATCCAAAACCAAATCATTTAAAAGAGCAATAATAGCACTTTTATTCAACTTATTTGTTTTGCTTCTATCAAATTATTACCATTTATTAGGATAAACATTTTTCTTCCCTTGAAAAAGATTTTTTATCTAGAATACTGTGGTGATGGAAAACTATTAACCAATCAGAGTAACAATATTTTTCAAAACAAGGATGGATGATTATAATTCTATACACACTCATGGCAAGATAGATATTTTATTGGTTTAATCATACCTGATTATACATAAAGAAAGATTTTTGATAATTTTAAGGTTACTTCAGAAAATCTGCAAAGTTCATTTAATAGTATATTTTTAGTAAAGTTCATTTAATAGTATATTTTTAATAAAAGTTTAGACCACATACTTTCCTTGCCAAAAGAGTAAATTTATTGAGTCCTAGAAATAACTGCATTTAATTAATTAAATTCTACCCAAGCCATGATTAACATTTCTCCCTACTCTTCAATGTGACCTTTATTTAACAGAGTTCACTGTGTCCATAGGAACACAAGCATCCGATCTGAAGTGACCACGTGCTCCCTTCAGGAAAATAATCTTTTTGCTTGAGACTGAGACTCGCTCTTTGGCCAAGGCTGGAGTGCAGTGGTGTGATCTCGGCTTACCACAACCTCTGTCTCCTCGGTTCAAGTGACTTTCCTGCCTGAACCTCCCAAGTAGCTGAGACTACGGATGCACGCCACCATGCCTGGCACTGTGGCTCATGCCTGTAGTCCCAGCACTTTGGGAGGACAAGGTGGGCAGATCATGAGGTCAGGAGTACAAGACCAGCCTGGTGAACAGAGTGAAATCCTGTCTCTATTAAAAATACAGGAAAATAATCTTAATTTCAGCTACTGGAATGCTTAGTACTAAGAAAGTTTCAAATTTTCATGTATCCCCTTTTGAATAATTTTTTGTCAAATATTTCAGAGAATGTCTACCTCACAAAAGATGAACATTGGACTATGTTAATATTGAATTCATATATAATCAGTGAATTAAATTTCCTCAAATGAAAATTTTCACCTACTTTTATCATTAAACAAGTAACAAAAGAAACCAAAACCCTGCAGTTTAAACAAAATGCCCTTTTATTTGCCAAGTTCTGCTTTTCATTTAATTGTTCTGATACTATACAGTACCTCACAGGTTTCCTTTCTCGAAGCAAGTCTTCCAGACTGCGTTCACAATGTTCAGCCACAACCACTAGTCGTTCTAAGTAAAATAAAGCAAACCCTTGTTACATTCTATCAATACAACATGTTAAGAACAAAATAATATACTCTACTGATGATACTAACATATAATACACACAATATTTTAAAAGTGCCTTTCAAACTCTATATTAACTATATTATTACCAAGTATATAGGATAATGAATATCTAATAAAACAACTATTTTTTTATCTTGTATTTTATTTTCCCTCTAGACTTTTTCTCATGTACATCAAGAAAAACAGGTGGAAAGACTGCCCCTGGGGAAAAATAATTTATCCTTCTTCTGACACAGACTGGAAGAAAGAAGTAAAAGATTAGATTAATAAATAAAGAAATTTTGAAAGAAAGGAAAAGTAGGGAGACAAGGTACAGATTGCTTGACAGTCTGGTTTTAAACACAGATCTTTTAAATTACATTCTGAAACTTGAAGAAAGAAATGTTCTGAATCATAACTATAGAGAAAGAAAATCAACCTAGAATTATTGCTGACCCTTGAACAACGCAGAGGGTTGTTAAGGGTGCCAACCCTCTACACAGTCGAAAATCACCTATAACTTTTGACACCCCCAAAAACTTAACTACTAATTGCCTATTCTTGACTGGAAGCCTTACTGATAACACAGAAATAGAATAATATCTACATATTATATGTATTCATGACATACCTTTTTTCTTATTTTTTCCTATATTTCTAGGCCACATGGTTCATTCATGAGTTTTTTTTCAAATTGTCAAAAATGTCCAAAAATTTTTCCAATATACTTATTGAAAAAAAAATCTGCACATTTAAGTGGATGTGTGCAGTCATAACCCATGTTGTTCAAGGGTCAACTGTAGTTTGTAACACATAGGGCCTACTGAGATTAAATAATATACAACAGTGGACATGATCAACATTATGATGCCATTTTTATTTTCCATCAGATGAACTGTCTAAGAACAAGATGACACAGTTCTAAGGGTGATCCATACTTTTTTTTTTTTTGCCTCTTCCATTATCCAAGTCACTAACATGATGTTTGATAATGAATCTAAGGGGAACAAAAGAACAGTGCAACTGGGTTTCAAAGCTTTTAGGGATTTGACAAGGTTATTTCAGGAGTTTGGTTCAGAAGAAGTTGGAGTATTGTCAGGATCTACGCAAAATGCATTTGAAGTAAGATATGAAGTTTAACACAAAACACAATGATAGACTGAGACTAGATAATGTAAAGGTACAAATAAACTAGAAATAATAATAACCATAAAAAGAAGGTTTGGTAAAAATAAAAAAGGAGACAAGGTAGAAAAAAGAGGTAGCAGAAGATGGGAAACAGGAAGTTCAGAGTAGGAAATCTAGTATATAAAACAATTCAGTAATGACTGGATCAAGACATGGCCTTGAATGGGGAAGGAGAGAAGGACAATTGTGTAAAGGCAGACATGTCAAGTGCAGGAGCAAAGTGTTATCTTGGATCATATGTAAGTTTACTCTGTCTAGCGAAATGGGATTATACAGAATAATCTAAACACAATGATTAAAAATGCTGTAAGTGAAAACCATCATTTTCAGATAAAAGACTCTAATTATAGAGGAACAGGACTAAAATGAAATAGCAAATGATGAAGCTAGAGAGAGAGTTGAACATAAATAATTTACAGGAATTTTAAGAAAATTAAATTAAAATGTAATGAGAAAAAAGAAAAAGGAAAGAAAACCATGAAATGAAAGGTCAAATTCTTTACTCAATAAAGAAAAGAGTATGCAAAGTTGAGCTCCAAGCAATTTAGTACAACAGTGAAATTCCAGAAGAAAAAAACAGGTAACATTAGCAGAAAACCAAAACAAGAAGCTGCATTCCTTTGCTTTTTATCTTACCACATTTTGTCCATTTTCCTTACACTTATCTGGCTCCCTCCCCTCAGTATCCTCTGTAAATCTTTACTTCTTCTACCCAAATTGAAATGCTGCCAGTTTCTCCACCTTTAATTCTGGGTCTTCGCACTGTTTTCTCATCTATTCCAAGTCTGAAAAACTCTCAAATTTTATCACAAGCCCAAAACTCTCTTCTGAACTGCAGGCTTTTAATATAAAAGTTACCTGAAACTCAAGAGAACCAAAACTGAACTTAAAATTTGCTCTTAAAGTCTGACTCCTTTAATACTATTTCAGTAAATGATATCACCATCCAGCAAATTACTCTAGCTAGAAACTAAACAGTAATCTTCCCTTCTCAAATCCAAATAAACAAAGGGTCCTGCTATTTTTATATCTCAAATATTTCTAGAATCTATAGTTTGCTCCATCTGCCACAATCTGGGCCCAGCCAGCATCATCTCATTAGATACCTACAACAATCTTTTACTGATCTTCTCATATTAACTCCTATTTCTTTCCAACATATTTTCACACTAAAGCCCAAGTGATAAAATCATAACAAGTCTGAATATGGAACTCCCTCTCTAGCTTCATCTATGTTATTTTATCTTAGTTTACCAACTTCCAGCCACACTGATCTTCCTTCTGGCTTCCCGCCTTAGGGCACTTACACATGGGTTCCTACTGCCTGAAATGATCTTTCCCATTCTCTTCTCCAGTTAACTCCTATCATGTAACAAAGTGGTTAAGAGTATAGACTATTTTGTCTGGGATCAAACCCCATTTTTACTACTAATTAACTATGTGACCTCAGGGAAATTGTGTAACCTGTCTATGTCAGTTTTTCTCTGTAAGATGAAGAAAAGAACAGCACGTACCTCACAGAGTCGTGAGGTTGAAACAGTTCATCTAGACAACAGATTGTAGAAACATTATAAAGCTTTAAATTTACATTTTTTTCTACATTTAGGTATCTGGCAATTAATGTCTTAATAAGCTGCCTCATTATAAAAATAATTTGATGCAGCTGAATTTACTTCTTTGCCCTGACCTATAAGAAGTATACAATCAAATTTATAGTCCACCTAAAAAAAATTAATATTACTAACCTCATATCTTATTCTAACTTCGTTTCCTTTCTCCCTGAAGAAAATAAGAGTATGCCACCTCAAAATATTCTTTGACATAAGGATTTTTTTGAGTTGAAGGCAATTAATTCTCTGCTCTCCCTCTTTCTAAGCAGAACATAAATCTCCCTCTGTAAAGCTTAAAGGAACTTCCTTTTGATAATTTCCATTTCCTATACCAGGAAGAGGAAAATGCCTCTTAATCTATATAACAAACTTAATAAATAATAATTCTTTTTGTTTTTTTTTTGAGGCAGAGTTTTGCTCTGTTGCCAAGCCACAGTGTAGTAGAGCAATCTTAGCTCACTGCAATCTCTGCCTCCCTGCTTGAACCCCAAGACAGGGTTCAAGAAATTCCTCTGTCTCAGCCTCCTAAGTAGCTGGGACTACAGCTGCATGCCACCACAGCAGGCTAATTTGTGTGTGTGTATGTATTTTTAGTAGAGATGGGGTTTTATCATAATAGCCAGGATGATCTTGATCTCCTGACCTTGTGATTCTTGAGCCTCGGCGTCCAAAAATGTTGAGATTACAGGCATGAGCCACCACGCCTGCCAATAATTCTTATTTACCTTACATTTCCAAGTCACCTTCTCAAATCTAGGATTTCCCAGAAATCTCAAACCCCTTTTCCTTTGTCTACCGTCTTCTCTGTATGTTATCTCCCATTGTGAAGATGGTATAAGCCTTAATTCTACCTACCTCCTTGAGTCACATTTCTTTGTGAAATCTGTGCATACAGATTAAATCTGTGCATACAGAATAAATCTGTTTTTTTACACATTTAATCTGTACACTCCCACCAGTTTACAAATTCCACAGCAATGTCAAGAAGGGACCTCATATGGTCTAAAAGGGAGGCATGAATAATCCACCCCTCGTTTAGCATACAATAAAAAATAACCATAAAAATGAGCAACCAGCAGCCCTTGGGGTTGCTCTGGCTATGGAGTAGCCTTTCTTTCATTACTTCACTTTCCTAATAAACTTGCTTTCACTTTACTCTATGGACTTGCCCTGAATTCTTTCTTGTACAATATTCAAGAACCTTCTCTAAAAGTCTGGATCAGGATCCCTTTCCTGTATCATGATCATAACTCACTACAGCCCTCAAACTCCTTGTGACAAGTGATCCTCCTGCCTCAGCCTCCTGAAGAGGTAGGACTACAGGAACTGTAGTTAAGAGGAGAAAAAAAAAAACAGTTAATCAAACTGTCTTTTATCAGTTTGATTCCTGGCAGTACCATTAAGCATAAGAGAGTAGAGAAATGTTTTTTCCTTCCTTACATCCTCATCTTGATTATTTTTCTTTCATGAACTATATGTAATATACTGTATAAATGTCTGCATCTTGTCTCAAATTATTTTTGAAAAAAACTAAGTTTATAATTAATCAAGAGACATAAATGTCTTTTTAAAAATAAGAATAGGCCAGGCACGGTGGCTCACACCTGTAATCCCAAAACTTTGGGAGGCCAAGGCGGGTGCATCACGAGGTCAGGAATTCAAGACCAGCCTGGTCAAGATGGTGAAATTTCATCTCTACTAAAAATACAAAAATTAGCCAGGCACAGTGGTGGGCACCTGTAATCACATTTACTCAGGAGGCTGAGATAGAGAATTGCTTGAACCTAGGAGGTGGAGGCACAGTGAGCCAAGATCACGCCACTGCACACCAGCCTGGGCAACAGAGTGAGACTCCATCCCAAAATAATAATAATTAAAAATAATATGAGGGAGACCAACTCAAGATGGCACGGTGAGAACAACCCAGGACTGAAGCTTTCAGTGAACACGTGGAGGGTGAGTCAGGGCCGCATTTCCAGATGGATCTTTGTTGCCCAAAGAACGGGGAAATTCCCAGGTACAAAAGAGACGTGGGACGCCAGTGAAGCAGTTTTGGCTGGAGCAGCCAGCAGCAGGCGCTGCAGCGCAGCGGCGCTCCACAGCGCTCCGCAAAAAGCTTACTGGTCCGGGTGCCCTGTTAAACCGGCAATCTGAGGCTTGAGA